ACTTGATTTTTGAGAGAACCTATGCAAGGTTCGAAAGGTTTCAAAGTGAAATTGGAAAGCAGCATTTTGAAAAATTTTGTCCAATTCTGGAAATTGCCAGGAGCTGAGTTATTTTTTTGCTGCAAGACTGAAGAGCAGAAAAAATACGAAAAATTTTGAACTTGGTGACCTACAACATCAACCATTTCAACTCCGGACGACAAGTGCCCCTGCGATACCACGTCACGTACGCCGCGTATGTAACGCGATTTTTGGGGAACCTGTGCAGGGTTTGAGAAATTTCTAAGTGAAATTGAAAGATTGTCAGCTTTGTTAAACGACAGGATGCACAGTTTTTGGGCACGAGTTGGTCAAAGCACAGAAACATTTCTACAGAACACAATGAATTTGTACGTCACTTTGAATGTCTTCTTGGATAAATCATGGATAAATCATTTATTTGACGTACAAACTGACGTACAAATTCATTGTGTTCTGTAGAAATGATTCTGTGCTTTCGGATTCCGCATCTCTTAGCCCCCGGTCAAGCAATAAAGAATGGAGGTGCTGGACTGAGATAACTGCAAGTATCGATGAATAGATCCTAGTGTTTGAGAATGCTCGAGGGAAAATTCGGGATGAATACCTGAGCGATTTTCTTTGTGAGCGAACATTCGTCTGTACCATGGTAGGGGCTTGAGATTCAGTGCCATTGTTTCATGATTATTGTTCTCACGCTTCACCTGTCCCATTAACGAGGCAGAAAACATCTTTGCCATCTATAATTAAAACAAGCATCAACAGCGAAAAACACAACTTTCGGTACTTTGATTAGATGCAGCTTATAATAGAAATATTAATTGATATGTATAAAAAGTATAAAACAAACTTGTGTAAAATACTATAGTAAATTATGTCAGTCATTACGTATAATTATATTAAATTATTTGATTATTTTAAATAAAGTCACATTACGTTATCAAAAAATCAAAAGTCAAAACCCACTCCGTATTTCGCTCTCAGTGGCAGGCAGAGGTCCAGCCCGAGTGATAGAAAATGCCAACAACAGTCACTGTCTGGCAAGGTTGTCGATGGCTCCCTCTTCTGAGAGTTGTTTACAAGCAAACTGATGGCGGGTGTGACCCCCTGACACATGCAAATATTAATTTACTATCGATATGAGTCGTTGGGGGGTTGGTTATACCACTGACAGATTCAAACCTTCGACCTAGTACACGACGGCAGTGCTACTCCAGTGCGTCACGCCTGCCGACATATATTATTTTTTTGTGTTTGTATCATAATTAGTATTTGATTTAATTTAACATAATAATTTTTCCGAGCATTATATTATTGATTGCGATGTAAAAAATCAATAAGATATGAAATTATATTAGTATGAAGCATAAAGATACATTAAAAACAGAACAAAATTATACTTTTCCATAATTTAGAAAAAAAAATAAAACAAAATGGCAAACTGTGCCGAGAGAGTACAAATATTCGGAATTTTTTGGTGAA